GTGTTCCTGATATGTACCTGAGTACTGGGACAAGCCAAACTAGGGAGGGAGGGAGGGAAGGAGGAATTATCTCCTTTTAAAATTATAAAAGTTAAAATTTAAAATTTAGGAATTATCTCCTAAAAAAAAAAACTATGATTTTTTTATTTGTTCAATTTATATGGCTGCCTATCTTCCATAGAACTCTGGGCAGCTAATGACACATTAAAACATCATACAAAATAGTAGCAAAAAATCAACCAATAAAGAAAAGCTGTAATGGCCACCAAGGAAAAATACAATCTAATAAACTAAGAACACCCACGGGATCCAACTAATCTTCCCACCCCCACGGTTGTGAACACATCGAGATCTTCAAACTTTTTGGAAAGCTGGCAGGGTTGAGGCCAATCTAATCTCAGGGGGTACGTTGTTCCAAAAGGCAGGCACAGTGACAGAAAAGGTCTCCTTCCTGGGTCCTCCAAGATAACATTCTTTAATTGAGGGGACCCACAGCATGCCTGCCCTGCCAGACCTACTGGAAGAGGTAGAAACAACTGGGGAGAGGTGGTCCTGCAAATCACCCAGCCCCATGCTATGGAGGGCTGTTTAGGTGACAACCAGCACCTTGAATTAACTTCTGGATTTTCTTCAAGGGCAGCCCCATGTAGAGCACAGAACATTAATCCACTTGGGAGGTGACCAAGACATAAGTGACCATGAGCAGTGCCCCCTGGTTCAGGATGGGGTGCACTTGGTGCACAAGATGAAGTTGTGCAAAGGCCCTCCTGGCGTGGCTACCACCTGTTCCTGAAACAGGAGCTACAAGTCCAGGAGGACCACTAAATTGTGCAACTGTTTAGGGTAGTGCAACCCTAACTGTAACTAAAGATGGAAAATTACCAGATCTGGGACACCCTAAAACCCAAAGCCATTTAGTCTTGTTAGGGTTGAGCTGAAGTCTTTTTTCCCTCATCCAGGCCTCCACAGCCTTCAGACACCAAGACAGAGCTCCCACAGCATCACTTAGTTGGCCTGAGGCCGAGATTTAAAGATGGGTATCAACAACATCAACAACAACAACAATAGGGGGCGCGGTGGCGCAGCGGCTTAATGATGCGGAAAGTTGCCAGCCAGAAATTGTCGACGCTTCAGCGGTTCGAGTCCAGCCTTCGCGTTAACAGGGTGAGCTCCTGTGTCCTCCCCAGTTCCAGTCAGCACAACAGGTCGAAAACTCACGTGAGTAGATAAATGGGGACTCTCTCTCTGGTGGGAGGAAAAATGCTGGCGGTGCCTTGCAAAAAGGAGTTGGGAGCAGTTGCTGGTAAGCGTGAAAAACCGGGCGCACCCAAA